ATAAAAAAAAATTATACCAAAATATTTAGTTAAAATATTTATGGTTATTTTTACTTTATGTCATTATATTCTTTCGTTAAACATAGTTATTGAATGGTAATGATTTAGTTATAATAATAAATTTTTTTTGTAGATTTTTGCTTTTCAAAGGCACAAACGTACAAAAAGGAAACTGAAAATTTTAATATTAAATACATTAAGGTTCATAAATCTTACAATTGAATTCATTTACTTTACTATTTTTCAATTTAATATTTTTATTGAAACAATGACTTAACTTGATTAACAAAAATTGATATATTTATTTTCTTATACAATAATTGCTTAAACACATGAGTTTCAAGGGAAGATTTAATGATAAATTTTGTGTAGTTTTTTAAAGAAAGATAACATACATATAAAAACTATTTGAAAAAGTGTTCATACAACATATGAATTTGAATGGAAATTAGGGGTTTAGTATAACATTGATAAATCCTATAAAAATCATAATAAATTTTATTTATTTTTTATGTATTCTTTGTAATTTACTATTAATAAAGCAACATCTTAACTTGGTTAACTAAATATTTTTAATTTTCCATTTATGCACATATTGCTTAATTTAAAATACTGATTAGAGCGATGTTTTATATAGTAAAAACTTTTTTAAGCAAAATACAAAGTGGATACATCATATTAAATATATGTATATCTATATATATATATATATATATAAACTTGACTGGATTTTAAAGATTTAATGTCAATTTCAGAAATCTTAAGGTTAATTAAATTTATTTATTTATTTTCATATTTATTTGTAAATTAATTATTCTCAAACAATATCTTAAATATTTTTTTTTTTATTTTTTTTCATTCACTCTCATAATTGAAAACACAAATTATAGGAATAACTTATTTTCATTTGAATTCTCACTTTAAAAATATAAAGAAAAGACACATAAAAATATTAATATTATAAATATATGTGTACTTAATCAATTATTGGGGTTTAATGCTAATTCAAAAACCCATAATTGAAACATTCACTAAATTTATTAACTTTTTTATATTTCTTTCTCAATTTAATTTTTATCAAAAGAATGTTTTAAATTTGTCAATGAGAATTGTTTTTCCTAAACGTAGCATTGATTAGTGGGTTTAAAATCAAGCCAAAGATCTTAAATTCTTAGGCAATTTATGTTTTTATTAATTAACGTAAAGATAATTGTATTTTACATTTTTTTTCCTCCACATCCATGACTTAAAACTCAGGTTTAAACTACAAATTTTCATATAAATTTTCATTTATAAAAGGTACAAGTATAACTAAAAAGAAAGGTTGAAAATTTTCCTATTAAATAAATTTGAAGTCAAATCAACACTAAAGATTTAACGTCAAATTCACAAATTTCATCATTTAAAATATAATAGTTTTATTTATAGTAAAATAAAACATTGAGTGAAAATATTTTAAGGAACCTTTTAACCTCTTAGGAACTAATTTCTTTTTTCTCATAAGATTGATACCTTTATTAAAAAATTGTTTCTTCTTTGGAAAAATAAATAAATTTAATAATCAATATTGAATAATGAGTTTTTTACCTTTTACATTATTTAAGCATACTTAATTTATTAAAATCTCTTATTTTATTTTAAATTTTTTGTACATCATTCTTTTAGAAATTGATAACTCTTGAAGTTAAATTGTATATTGGTAATTTTCAACATCCACTATAATTTTTTATACAAAATTTAGTTTATAACAAATAAAAATATATACTATTTAGAAGAATACTTTTAATGATATTCTATCGTTATAAATGTTTTATATCACTCAACTAGGTTTTTTAACTCATATGTGTAAGATCAAATTTGTAATATATTATTTAAAATTAAAAACTAAATATATCTATTATTATAATGAATTTATTAAAAAATTATATATTAAATAAATTATTATAATGAAATTTATATTTGTATGACTATTATTGTAAATATATCCTTCTACCCTTAGCAAATTTTATGCATTTTTTTTATTCATGTTATAAAATTTATTAAATACATATAATACAAATTATATGAAAACATATATATACATACATTTATTAATACTATCTTTTTCATATAATTTGCATTAATATAAAAACATTTATACAATTAATATAATATATATCGCTTTAAAATGGTGAAAAATCAAAAAGAAAGAAAAACCAAAAAACAAATTCAATTATCACAATTAATAAACAAACATTATTTTTATTAAAATAAAAAAATCAAAAGGAAAATAAAGCCCAAAAAGTATGTTCATTGATCATAGTTAATCCAAATTTAAATAAGTGAATGCTATCTTTAAAATTATAAAAAACTAAAAAACAAAAAAGTTCAAAAGATATAATCAATTATCACAATTAATAAATAAATATTATTTTTTTAGTTGAAGAAAAATAAAAAGTTGTTTTTTTCTTGCTAGTAAAAAATCAAAAGGTAAAAAAAAATAATAAATTCCCACAATTAATAGATAAATATTATTTTAAAAAAAGGAAAAGGTAAAGGTAAAGCCAAAAGGTAAAAAAAAAGCAATACACAATCAATTTAATATATATATCCCTTTAAAATGGTAAAAATCAAAAGATAAAAAAAAAAATCAATATATCACAATTAATAAAAACACATTATTTTATTAAAATTAAAAAATAAAAAGGCAAATAAAACCTTAAAAACATGATCAATGATCACAATTAATCTAATTTTAAACAAGTGAATATTATCTTTAATATTGTAAAAAAAAAAAAAAAAACCCAAAAGATACAATCAATGATAACAATTAATAAATAAATATTATTTTTAAAATTGAAGAAATTGAAAAGATAAAAAAAGCTAAAAATACATAATTAATTATCATAATTAATAGATAAATATTATTTTTAAAATCAAAGAAAATAAAAAGGTAAAGAAAGCCAAAAAGATACAATTAATAGATAAGTATTATTTTAAAAATTAAAAAAAAAAAAAAGAAAAGGTAAAGAAAGCCCGAAAAATCAATTATCACAATTAATTATTAAAATTTATTATATATATCATATAATGAACTTTATGATCATTTATTGACAAATTCATTAATTTAAAAGGTTTTTTTTCAAAAGTATAAGTAATTTGTTTGCCTTTCAAAATTTTAAAAATTTTATTTTGTGAAATAAGCTCATTTGAATTTTTATACAAAGTTAAAATATTAAAGAAGATCTAATGTGTAATAACAAATTTTTAATAAAATTTTTTTATATTCTAATTTTATCCTCTAATAATTCAAGAAATTATAAGAAGAATTATATTATTTTACATGTTTTATTTGTTTTAATTGGATAATCAAATTCAATGATTTTTTATTTGATTCTTTTATTTACAAATAATGATAAATGCTCTTTGTACTTTTTTTTTTTACTTTAAAACTTTTTTTTGCATTTGATAAAGTTGAGTATTATACTTATTTAATTAAAAATAAAAATATTTTATCTAAGTTTTTTCACGAATTATTTAGTAACATGCTTTTTTTAGTTTTAGGATTAAAAATTCATTAATATGATTCACAAGATTAGTCTTAATGTAAAGCATAGTGAAATTTTCTTTTAAATAAAATTTAAAATACAATTATATTAAAATTTAAGAAATTGTTATTTTCTTTATGTTAATGCAATTTTGTTTTTTTTTTTCATAGAAGACATAATTAGATTAAAAACTTCACAAATAACATTTAGATTAAATCTTAATAAAGCAAAACCCACTTAAATTTAATTAATATAAACCAATTTTAAAGAATTTTAATTCTAGCAATATTTTTATAATAAATTTAAATGCAATATAATTGGCATGAGTGAATTTTCTTGAATTCAACTTATCAAAAGTAAATTTCTTAAAAAATACAGATTTGAGTGCAATTATAAATTGTAAGAATTCATAATGCATATTATTATTCAAATTAATAAGATAATACGCGAGCATTGCACTTAATTTTGCATTTTTATTTGTCAGTATATAGTTTGTACTGTTTGTAATAGTAATAAGATTTTCTTTTCTCTTTAGATATATAAAACTCATTGTTTATCTAAAAAAATAAAATTCAAATAGTATAAATATGTGACAAAAACAATATCTTTTTCATATATCAAAAAATTAAAAGAACAATAAAGCTAACATTTGTATTCAAATTGTTATGGTAAAATGAACAATTTAATCCATCTTTACTATTGAGATTTATATGTTTATATTTAAAATTAAAGTACAATATTATAAAAAGAAATAAATATGATATTAGTGATACAATATAAAATCATATAATTATCAAAATTTTATAAATTCTAATGCTATCTAATTATGAAATTAATTAGAGCACAAGTGTAAAAAACCTAATATAAAACTATTTTTTTCAAAGTAATAATAAATGTTGAAATATAAAAATTACATATATCATAATATAAAGAATCTACAATTTAAAAAAAAATAAGACAAAAGGGGAATTTTGTTTCTAGTTAACAAATAAACAATTTTCAAATTTTAAAGGTATCCAAACAAGAGGTATTATATCCTTTCTTTTCTTTTAAATCTTTTTTTCTTTTCTTCTCCTTTCCTTTCTTTTATTACTATTTATTTAAACATTGCATAAGAGTTAAATGATGTGAAAAGGAGAGGGAGAAAAAGAGATAAAAATAAAGAACACGCGATAAAAATATATGGAAGGGAGATGCTATAGTACTATTTTAAGAAAAGTATTTTCATAACAAAGTATTATATTATCATCTTTAAGTTTTTTTTTTTACAATTTTTAAGAAAAATAATAATTTATCAAATACAAATTTTGGAATTATTTCTTGAAAAAATTTTTTACGCATAATAATCTGTTGCCAGATTCATGGGTTGGGCCTAGAAAACCCCATCGGTTTGGGCTTTTACTGAAAGGAATCGAAGTGGAAATTACCTCTCTCTAGGCTTTATCACTTTCTTCTCCTTTCCACTTGGGTTCTTCTCTTCAAGAGGGTGATCTTGTTAGGGTTCTGCGGAGTCAAAAACTCGTTGACCACTCCTGAAAAGAGGGAGAAATGGCAAAGCAAGGTGCCAAGAAGCGCAAGGAAGAGAATACTCGCCATATGGCCAATCTCCGTCGCCTCATCATTGCCTGCAATGTACGTTCTCATCGTCTTATTATTATTTCTCCCAATTCTTGAAATCCTACTTGAATTACGTCATCATTTGCTTATTTTGAAATTAATTGAAAGTGTTAGATTCTGATTAAATTAGGTTTATGAATGAATGCCTTAGTAAGTGCGTTTATGCTCAAGTGATAACATTATGATGCACAATCAAGAAAGGGAAAACTTAAAAGTTATAGATGGCATTGATTCATTTTGAATTTAATTATATTGAAAATTTCAATTTCTGTACATATTGGAAATGCGCCCGTAGTTCACAGTTAAATCAATCCAATAGTAGTACGGCTGCACGTCTCCAGCTACATGTGTTTATAGTGTATATGCATACGTTATGACCGTAAAATCGAAAAGTAATAACTTTGAAAGTTGTAGCTATTCATGTTAACCTGGTAACCCACTGGTGATGGTTAGTGCACAGACAGATGAATTAAGTGTTAGCTCGGTTACTAAAGAATGGTAATCTTGTAAGTCATAACCGTTGGAAGTTGGAACCTATTCTTAGTGTTTATCTCAGTGGTTTTGAACAACAATTTTTTTCTTTATTAATCTGTAGCAACAAAACTGCACTATGTAGTATGTGTTTGCCCTAGTTGAACATTGTGCATTTTCATTTGTAGTCTATGAAACTTTGTCGTAGTTAGCTTTTGTTTGACATAAAACCACATTGAAATTCTTGTAGTTTCTGTTAATTTTTTGTTGATGTGGATGAAGGAGGGGGAGGGGTTGTTGATGGGTTTTAAGTACTATCTATTTTTCTTGTCTTGATAGTTGCATTGTGTACTTGTTAACTATCTTATTTTATTGGGTTTATATCCTAATTTTCTGTTTATCTAGATTATATACATCTTGGTTAGGATGCTGATCTTCCATTCCTCATTCACATGGAAACATTGGGTTGGTCTACTTCTGACATCTGTTGCTTTCTTTATCCCCTATCAACAACTTGCCCAGATGGCAAAACCTGCCTATGCTGATGACGGAGAGCTTCTTGATGGTGGATTTGATATGAGTACTGGTGGAATATGTGGGTATGTCCTTGTTCAATGTTTTACCCATTTTCCCCTTAATTTCAATGTAGGGTTTTTTTTTTTCTTGATATATCAGGAGGAGCTTGGTAAGAAGGACCATTCTGACTACTTATTCTAATTTTTTGTAAATGAGGCAATGCATGTAATGAAGGAGCACTGTCTAACGATTCTTGTCTTAGCTACCTCAGACAGAATGTCATTATTAGTTTGTTTTGGCTTTATTTATATGGGCTTTATATCAGGTTATGAGAGCTAATATAACTACTTTATTGGTGACTTGTTAGTGTTTTATTCTTTTTGTCTATGAGAATTTGAATACAGATTTGAGATTTCCCAAATATTCTTTTTATTTTTTGTCTTTGTTCTCTTTATTTTCCATTGATTTTTCTACTGACGCTGTGTCAGAGGAGCTGCTGATTTGGTTTTTCCAAAAGTGGCAGGGCGAAATGCAAGAAATGTAGGTCTTAGATCATATATTTGGGCTGCCCTTATTCGTTTACCTGTTTCTTTAACTTCTGAGTTACTTTACTTGTTTATCAGAGATGTTCTAGTTTTCTCCTTTTAATGTGGATCTTTTTCTTGTATGTAGGCAGCTATGATTAGCTATGATATAATCACTTGAGTCATAATATAACAGGACTGTATGCTTATTATGGGAAAGAGTGATATTTTTGGTTGCTTATGAATAAAGTACAAATTTATGCCAATAATATAATTAGACTGTATGCTTATTATGGGAAAGAGTGAGATATTTTTTGTTGCTTGTGAATAATGTACAATTCTATGCCAATGTTAGTCATGATGATTGTGTTTGTTTATAAGTGTTCAGAAAAGGAGAAAATCATCTTACTTGATTCAAACACTTAGGAATAAGAAGAGGAGAGGAGGATGGGAGGGCAGGAGGAGACACCTTTTGTAGAGAATATCCTGTGTATGTTTTAAACTGTGAAATCAGACATTCTTAACTGCCAATAATTTCATTTACTTATTAGCTGGATAGTTTAAATATTTTTGTTTGTATCTAAGTTTTGTTGACATTATGAATTGATTCAATCTATTGTCTTAAAATCTGTATTTTTTCTCCATGTACTAAATATTCCCCGACTTACAATTGCTCCTTTCTTGCAGCTATTTACATGATGTAATCTACATTACAAGTTTCGTGCAACTGACGTCCATCATCTCTGAAAAGTTTTGGTATACATTTTTGGTGGTGAGTTCTATTTGTTTTGTCTGCTTATAGAAAGACCAATCTGATACTTCCATCCTTTGATCTGCGTTTTGAATGGAAGACATTTTATAGTATGGGGAGGAAGTTGACCTAATGCTTATCGGCTTTTACATTTTCTTGAGAAAGGAATGTGAAGGAGTGAAAATGTCAATATCTAGGGGAAAAATATGCAGGAGTGAAATTTGTGGAAGAAATTTTGCTAATTTCATTTAACTAGGAGAATGTAATTAGGTAGAGTAGCTCCATATCTGCTGCCTAATATCATCCCATGGTCCTTGGGTGGTTAACTAGCCAACAAATAAATTTGTTAGGGCTGCTCTTTTGGTCGTAAGTTGCCCTGACACAGTACTACCAGGAAATGTTTTGCCTTTTAGCTCATCAAATGGCTTAAATAGATGTTCCATTGAAAAACTAATTTTCAATTTACAGTGGTTTCTGAATTGCTACTATTGTTTTGTAGCCTGTCATCTTTCTTGAAATGTTTTAGTGCTCAGTGCCGCTGAAGGTAATGAGCAAATTTCTGCTGGTACTAAGTTTTGAAATCAATTTAATAGTTCTAGAGCAGTCCTCTAGGATTGGCTTTTAATAGTCATCTCCTTTCTATCAGACGTGCATCAAAGAGTAGCTGATCTAATTGTTAAATTGTGTTGACTCCTATTATGAATGACATAGTTGTGTGGAGATCTATTTAATGCTATGTCGAGACCAGAAGGCTTTTGCTTATTGGTGGAGGGATCATGTTTTGCATGAACTTCTCGAGTAATGATTTTTCTGTTGACAGTTTCTCCTAGAATATTAATGTTTGTCTCTAGGATTGTTTATTTAGGCATTTCTGTTTTTGTGGACAAGAAACTTGATTTGATGTGCTATTGGTAAGTGCATATCTTTTAGTCATTTACCAGGTTTTTCTAGGAGTCCAACCAAAAGAAATTGTGTTTTAGGATCTTAAGATGATACGAGTCTTTAAGAACAAGCATTTGCCAATGGAAAGTTTTATGCAAATATGCATTCACTAACAAATTCTTAATTCTGTGGTGGAATCTTTTGTAACTCACTTAGATGGAACAAATAAGATAATGCCAAAATATTAAGGAGTTACTTGTTACTTTTCAGATACCAGCATTTGGAGCATATAAATCTTTTGGGTTCATTAGAGGATTTCTATCACAAGGTTCAGAGGTATGTCCACATCTTCATACTCTTTTTACCACCTTTTCAGGTAATAGTAAAATTCATATGCTGAAAATAGTTTTTTGTATCAATGTGTGTGAATTAGGGAGAGGTGGAGGATGAAAAGACTCGCAAGAAAAGGGAAAAGATGGAGAAAAAGGCTTCAAGGCCAAAGTTTGTCAAGACTAGGAATAGATGAGTTTAACACCAAACAAAGCTCTTGGCTGAAAGTAGTTCACTTGAAAACTTGGAAGGTTGCTTTCAAATTTTAGAAGTTAGAACACAATTGGCATAAATTTGAGGAAAGCATATTGTAGTGGTTAAAGTGAACATGTAATTGTTCTATTCTTGATGAAAAGGAAAACTGGGAAATATTTATCTCATTTCCCTGCGTCTGTGTTTCATTAATATACATTTTTCTTGCAATTTGTTGTAGAACCAGTGTTAGGATAATGAAGGATGAGAAGACTGTTCTAATTGATGCCTTTGAACATACAATCTTGATTGCAGCCTACTTATATGGGAATCTAGCAATGAAAATTACTTCCTTTATGTTTTGATCTTAGACATGCCATTTTGATAGGATCGGAAAAACAAATCCGGTATGCAGATTACAAAATCATGTTGATCCTTGAGGAGAAAAAAGAAATTTCTCCAATTACTCATAGCATGTAGAAATAGCACTGAGGCACTAAGGAAGCCAATACCCTCAGGTTTTGTGTCAAGTTTATATAAATCTGTAAGATGTTGGGATTTTGTCTTATAAAAAATATTTTATGATTTGAATGTAGTGTAAATATTTATATTTCAAATTGAATTATAGAACACAATTAATGTATGATTCTCATGATTTCTCTTTAAGATTATGATTTTTTTTTTCCACTTAAACGAGATCTTATTATCTTCAGTGGCATATTGCTAGTATTCTAAAATTGATTTTAATATTAAATGTTACAGTTTACACTAATTTGTAAAATATTGACTTTAATTTATTAAATGTTACGATTTAATTTTACAAAAAATAACTCCCAAATTAAAAATTACAATAAACACTTACATTTCAAGTCAATATCTGCCACAGATTTGATGTCCTATCTAAACAGTGACATTTTGTCCGTCAGAATAGCGCGGAATTCGCAACTCCTATATAGACAGTGACATTTTGACTGTCAGAATAGCAAATGTGGCGTTTTGTTCCTAATTTGAATTTCCAACAGAATTAGAAGTCAGGTAGAAAGCCAAGAGAGTTGTATACCATAACTTAAAAAGCGGTAGTACATCTGATCACAACTAGACTCCTATACTAAATTAATGATCTACAAGTATTATTAGCTCAAGACATCTTCATGGCACAAACGTAACCTGAATTCCTTACCATCTAATTTCCCATTGAACTATTTCTAATTTCCCATTGAACTATTTCTGAAAACTTTTAAAAGTTTTTAAAAATATAATTTTAGAAGCTTTTAAATTTTTAAACTTAACCAAAATTAAAAACAAATAATGTTCATCAGATCCTGTAAACATTCTGGATAAGAAAGGGAAGTCAAAAGTTTGGAGGCGACACTTGCATAAAGTTTTCCAACAAATGACAGGTCATCAAAATTTCAAACTTTTCAAAAATGCATATTCATAAAATTTAAAAATTTTTCAAAAAATATATATCTAGAAAGTTTAAAGTCCTTTCAAATATATATTTTTTTTGAAAATTTTTTTAACTTTTTGAATATTCATTTCTGGATGCACTATAAAACAAAAATTACTGAGAGAAAAATAATTTTAATAAAAATAATTAAGTAATTTTATTAATAAATATTTTGTCATAAAATTTTTTAGCATAAAAATTTTTAAAAAAAGGTGCATTTAGAAGTTCTCATGTACAAATAACTGAAGTTTACAAATTAACAACTTACATGCATTAACATCGTATAAATTGTTTATATTGAATTAGAGTTCACATTTATAAATTTGATAAATCTTATTAATCAAATAAATTCATTTAATAAAACTTTTTAATATAAAATTAAAATTTTTATTAATAAATTGAATAAATTTTATTAATATTTTATAATATATAAAGAACTTAAAATGAAAATTTAAAAATAAAATAAATAAAAGTATCATTTTTGTCAATTCAAAAGTTTTTGTGTTTTTATAAATATTATAGATTATAGCTATACATGCTATCGTTGTGCAGTTCTTGTGTTTACAAACATTCATTGAGCTAGTTGCAATAATGATTTTTGATAAACTTGATTTCATACGAGGATTATGGCAACATATGAAAGACTTCAATTTGAAGGGGTTCGATATATCCAAGTATTCATTTTCATAATTAAGAAAATTTTGTCTACTCATTTATCTTTAAAAAAAATTAATAAAAAATATTATTCTATTCATAGTGTAATACCTGGGGTAGATGAAGCCTTTCGTTGAGAGGTGCATGAGAGAAGAATCTTTCAAGTTTCACTTCCGTTCCTGTAAAAATTAATCAAATTTCATTAAAAAAAAAGAATAAAAACATTCTTTTATAAACTGCAAAATAATTAGAGGAAAAACCAATCGACTACATAAAGCCATTGAAGGGAGTTAAAGCTTATTTTTAAGATTTCTAAAGGCTTAGATTAGAAGAAAATATTTTTTTGGGTAAATACTTATTATTTATTTTGTAATTGTAACTTGCGTAAGAAATTTAACATAATTTTATATTACACTTTAGATAAAATAAAATAAATTGAGTAGTCACCTTTTTTTTTTTTCTGTGGAACCTTGTAGTCTTTGATGATTCTTACTGATCAATTTGTGCAGGATATTCAATATATTATTTTTTTTTTGGCCAATGACATTCTTGTTGTGATATTTATTATGTCGTTGTTGGTTTACCTGTTGTGTCACTTTTTAAAGTGGCTCTGAATTTTTTTCACTGGCCAAATAAAGAGTTCTTCTCCACCCAATGCCCACAACATGTTCCATATTTGATTTCATTGAAGTTCAAGTTTTGCCTTTTTTTTTTTTTAATTGTTTCGCAGATTTTTGTAGTATTTGTTAGTTATTAACTCGTTGATATATTATCTTTTGTATTGGCCCTTAATTCATCAATAAAATTATTTTGCTATAGAAAAAGTAAAGCAGTAAATATATATATTTTTATATTAAATCAGCAAATATGTAAATATACTAATTACATTGCAATGAATTTGAATAAATAATAAAAAAAAACTTTTGCATGTTATTTTTGAACAATAATGACATAACAAAAATTTATATTTTTTCCATAAATTTTTTTGCTTTTGAACATATTGGTCAATCAATCCTTTATATTTTCAGAAATGTCATAGGGACATTGTAGTTATGTTGTGCCAAGAACCCGATTATAGATAGATTGGCATGCCTAATATTTGGACTAAAGCTGTTGAATCTCCTTCAATCCAAGTTTCATTATCCAAAATCAATTTGTTATGAATATAGTTAGATCTAAAAAGTTGCTAATGATATTCAAAGCCAAGTCTAGACCAAATTGAATTATATATTCATGTAACCGCACACAAATATCACATCATGCACGACAGTCAAGCTATCATCTTATGTTTAAAAAAAAGTAAGTTGCTCTTCCGCTAATACTCCTGTTGACTCAGCACCTTCAGCATATCATTTGATAAGGGTCGACAAAGGTACAATATTCAGAACTGCATGGCAATTCGACCAGCATAAATGAAGGATTTTCTGGAATCATTTTTTGGACCATATTGTTTATAAGCTTAAGCAGTCCAATTAATATTCTAACAACATAATTCGATCCAACAAGGTAGTCATTAAACTCATTTACCTATATTCTGCTCATTCTTTATAACACAATAGAATAAAAATTTCACAACCCGAACACGCTTTTGGATCTCAGTGGATGACTTAATGACCAGCTTGGAAGGAAAAGTTTTTTAAGCTTTTCCTGTTTAAACTTTACCTGTTTTTAAAAATGCATTCAGGTTGCGAAATTTTCATTTTATTGTGAGATGAAAAATGAAAATAATCTTAGATGAATGAGCTTAATGACCAACTTCTTCGACCGGATGATTTTGTTAGAATGATTGAACTGCTTTAGGCTTATAATAATGGTAAACGCAAAGAAGATGAGAAGAGATATTCTTTTGTTGATTGACCATTGGCACCTTCATCTTATATATTGGCAGGCAACATCTTGTTAAAGAGTAGTTAAGAGATACAAAATGGAGGCAGGCTTAATACATGAACTTGAATATTAAGAGCATACAAAGATCATGAGCAACCTACAAATGAACAAAAATACAGGGTAGTTGAAGCTGAAACTTCTTCAATTAATCATAGCTCTTTTCACACTGAAATTATTTATGTTCTTTATTGAAGAATGCAAGTTGCATTTCAAACAGAAGTCACTTAACTAACGTTATCCCAACTAAGGAAACATTTTTATCATCTCAAACTTAAATAGGAACATATGTAAGTAGAGCATTTGACTCGATTTTATATTTAAGTTGGATGAAATTTTATTTTATAAAATCATCATAAGATAAACTCATGATTTTATATTTTGAATCAAAGAAATTACAAAGCTTAAGATCTAGACTAATGAAATTTTTCTTTTTTAATTTCCAGGAGAACGCTTCAAAGTTTGGATTTGAAGGCTCCAATTTGGAAGTTCAAGAAAAAAAAATACTATTTATTTTGATAAATGACAAATGTGAAGAGATCTATAAATATCTTCCTATCCGGAAAGCGAGCGAATGACCTAAATTATTTGTTACAAAAAAATATTTTTACTTTGATTGTATTTGCCTATAGTTTAACAACCAATTCGAATCATATCATATACTATCAATAAAACACAAAATTTTGAAAGTTCTAGAAGTTCGTAAAACAATAAATTTTACTAAGAGCAATATTGTTTTGATCATAACTCATAAATTAATTATTTCTTTATTGTTTAATAATTTTAAATTAATTAATTAAATAATCATGATTAGATGTATGGAATGCAGGCCCATAGTACTCTTCCTACCCTGCTAAATATGAGATGATCAGTAATTATATATAGTATGTTGAATGAAGTTATGGTATCACTGAATATTCTACTCCAAAATGTTTCATGAAAAATTTGATTAATTATTGCATAAAAATTAGGCAGATAATCCTTTAATTATTGCTTTAAGTTAACAATTTTAAGTTAATTGGAGTTTAGAGTATAATTATACCAACCTTTTATTATCTCCTTCAGCCATTGTCTGAGAGCTTGCTTACCTTTACATCACATTCCTGTAGTGGCAATATTAACAAAATATTGTAAGCTGTTGATTTATTTACATTTATATACATTAATCCTTCCGATTTCCTGAGGTCTTCATCTTTCTGTGCAAGTGTAATAATTTAACACTGCTCAAGATATGCATTACATGATTACAACATTACGTCTCCTTTCATTTTCAAATGTATCAGCAAGTAGCAACAGTGTATACCTACAACAAGGACTGGAGATCAGAGGTGCCGCGCTGCAAGATTTCGATCATGAAATGACAGAAGGTTGAATTCGCGCTCCAGGCTCCATGAAGACTCGTTCTGGTTGTTGATACTCAAGGTATATTCCTGAAAGTAGCCGTTGTACGTTATCAAGGATATGACGGCTCTAGAGAATCCAAAGCAGAAAAAAAAATGTCATGATTGGAGTTAGGAAAGGCTGCCGTAACTGTCAAACCACTTAGGTTGGGAAAAAAACAAACAGCATGAAGAAGGAAAAGCAAGATGCTAGGACAACAGCAGTGCGGTCTATTGGTAGAGTACTAGACTCTTTATTCCAATAACTAGGGTTCAAATCCTGGCATCTCAAGTACCAAAAACATCAAGATGCAAGAAAATTTAACTATTAACCACTTGTTCCATGGACTACACAAAAAGAACTTTTCAGGACAAGTGATCCAATGGTTCCGTTATGCTTAAAAGCAGAAGAGACATCATAGCATAACATGTATCTATCTATAAGGAATTCTATAGAATTCACAAGGATTATAACTTTAATTAATTTATCATCCATATAAATTAAAGGGGGAGGGGGAATGGTTATCTACAACAAGTAGATGAGAACACAGGAAAATGAATGCAAAAAACTAGAGAAGAGAATAAAAATTTGAAGTGAAGACTCAACGTCTGAGAACTGACCTACACGATGCAAATTCAGATGAGGATGAATCAGCAACCTTGTCTACCTTGCGAACGACTGTATAGCTGCACTAGAGCAATATGCACCTTTAGCACTTTTCTTGAGGATGGTCATCTAGTCAAAATCATATTTTATCTCGCTATGTCAAACATAGGTTTATGTGTTGCCTACAATCATGAACCTATATTTTATGGACAATTTAATGAATAGGTATAAATAAATAATAGTATTGGCAACTCTTTCTCAGATTAAAGCTAATCAGAATGTTTTTCTGCTAAGGGGCTTGAACAGATATTTGTCCACGTATACATGTTTAGCCTTGATAACAAAATAAATGACTCATCTAGAACTTAAAATTTAAAAGTGTCAATTGAATGAATTTGATCTTCAGTAGCAATTACCAAAGCCTATTTGAAAATGCATATATAACAAAGAAGAAAATTATGTAAATTAGTATTAAGTCTCCAAAAAAAGTAAATTAGTATTAAACATGTGAATGATCAGAATTTAAACTACTTCATGAGTTACTTAGGCTACTATATGGGGATTAGCAGGTTTGTCGCCAGTTAAGCTGTTTTCCATTGCACTAATGAGCTAGTAAATTCATTAAATCAGTTATAAAGTGCTTTACCTTCTGACTCCTGCAGAAACAGCATTGTGAAGCACATGATGGTTAGCTGGATCTAGTGCATCATTCACAGAATCAGGTAAGATTGATCCAAGAAAACTACTTGATTTTTTGCTCCTGCAAAGAGTTAAAAATTTGAGAAAGAAGGTCATTTAACTCCATAAATCATTCATATAGATTTATGGGCAGGCACATGCAATGATCAAAAAGACTACTTAAAACTTGTGTAAGAAGTAACTTCTTTTGGTTGGGACAAATATGATGATATTTATGACCCTTATGTATCTGATGATGACAAAGAGCTACCCTGAGGTTAGCAAAACTACACTAGCCTCCTCTCAGGTTCACTAAAACAATCACAGACCCCCATTCATTATTCAAGCTAGGTGAAGTAAAATGTTTCTTATGGCTCCTGAATATTCAATAAATTAAAAATTTTCCTGAAATATTGAAAAAGAAGGCAGAACCTGTAACAGCAAAAAGAATACAGACACATTATTCTAGAGAAGAATATAACAAACAAGGGTTAAGAAATCCTTCAACCTATTAACCCCCACTGCAAGACGCACAATAGTAGCAGATAGGAGGTGTATGATAGTGCTATTTAAGTTCAAAGGGTCGCTCCATGATTGCAAACATTAGTTTTACTAAAAAGTTAGAAAGTAAATATAAAAGGAACAAAAGTACAAAAAGATTGAAACTGAAAAGACAACAAGAGAAACATTTTTCACAAACAAAGGGGAAATTAATGAGTAGGAGTTCCATCATATGCAAAATGTTAAATGTCGAAGAAAGGGGATAAAGAACAATACATAAAAGAATAACCAGTGTCCGTGCTAATAAAAGGAGAAAGAATCCTGCATTTTTTAACTTATGATATCACATAGGTACCATGCATGTTGATTTTTAGAAATATGTCAGTGTACACTACAAAAAGATTGATTTGTAGCCCTCACCTCTGATTTGTATCAAACCCCAGAGAGAAGATGTGAACAGAACCTGAAGAACTTGTCGCTGCAAGAATATCTGGAAGTTGCAATGATGGTGCAAATGACAATGAAAATATGTTTGATGGGTATGTTCCTCTCCGAAAACTATATGACTGAGAAAATAAAGGATGGTTAGATTCCATATATGACGTTAAAATTTGAGTGGGCATAAATACTGATGGCATGCTGCTTCAAGGAATTCAGTTTATTACAAGTCAAAAAATAAAAAGGAAAGCTAGTGGGCATAAATTACTCATCATAAATAAAATAAAATGGCTGCATGGCACTACTGCAAGGGGTGTCCTACCATTAGATCAGTGGATTTAAGAGATCGAAATAGACTAACTTGACTCCAGGAAAAAAAAAAAAAAACAACTCAACATGTTTGTGCTTTTACTCATAAATTTGATATTGATCATTCAAGCATAAAGTTGATTTAAGATTTTGATCAAACTGTTTTCTCTGACTGTTACAAGCTAAGCAATCAGTAACAATTATTGCTTCAAATGTGTGAGCGTGTGTATTCTGCATGCATGTTCCAATAAACAGGCACCATATGAAGCTTTGCTTGGCTCTTAATTCTTCATTCCAGTCCTTTCTCATTCCTTGTCCTTACTTTGACTGAAAACAGCTTGAAGGTTACATGACCAAGTTTGTCTTTGCAATTCTGCAGAATGTGGACGTCATTTGATGTTAAGTTTACCTTCTAGTTTTTTAGCAACAAGGGATAACCGTGCCTATAACAGCCTGCATTTACTAATGTGTCTAGTACCAAAGACACACTTCATATATTAAGTCCTATCTACATGAAGAGCAATTCTTTAAGAAGTTTGGTTTGGCACTTAATTCTTTGTTCCAGTCCCTTCTAATTCCTTCTCCTTTGACTGGAAACAACTTGAAGGTTACATGAGCAAGTTTGTCTTTGCAATTTTGCAGCAAGGCGTCATCTAATGTCAAGTTCACTTTCTGTTTTTTGAGCAACGAGGGATAATTGTGCCTATAACAGCCTGCATTTACTTATGTCTAGTACCAAAGACACACTTCATATATCAAGTCCCATCAAATACACAAAGAGCAATTCTTTACCTTAGTTGCTTCTGAAACCAGATGAACTCTGATTATGGTTCCCTGTTCAGATGCTGTTGCAATGTATGTCCCATTGGAAGATAAAGCAATTGCAGCCAAAGGAGACAGGTGGGCATCTATCTGCAATTAATTCAATAAAAGCAAATTTAAAAAGTGATCACTCTGAAGTATTAAATAGAACAAAGAATAAACAGCAGAATGGCATCTTTTCCATACAAGGACAATCATATAAATGTCAAGGCAATATTAAACAAAAGGGCAGTTGATATGAGTAGAAATGGTCATTCCCTGCTCAAAAGAAGGATGATAGTAGCAATACCCAAACTAGAAACTTTCAGCAACAAAAATCATCAACTCCTCAGTCACAGAAGGTAAATACAAAGAAATCACTGATATCTATTAAAATAGAAGCCAAGGTTCTTGAGTTATTCCATACTTTGTACATGGTTTATGTTGGCAGAACCTGCTCAACTTTTTCTTCAAAAAAATGCTATTCATAATTTAAACACTTTGCACATGATAGCTAGCACATTTAATGTTTTTATAGAAAAATACACAAGAATTATATCACATTAAATGCACTGGGTTTATGAAATTATTGTTATTGAGGATAAGAAGCTGAAAAGAATGCAGAATGCTATCTTGTGTATAAATATATTTATCAGAAAATCCAATAAAAAATATAGGTGGCTAATCAAATGTAGCTTAAACATTCGCCATGTTGACTGGCAGGTTTTAATCAACTTAGTTACTCTGCATTTCAAAAACTTAACTGCTTCTTAGGTCACATAGGTCCAATTTCTAGCAGACAAGAAATATTTAATCCAGTATCACAACAATGCATCCTGGAGTCATGACTTGCCAAATAACAATGTTCATTTTAATCTGAAGAGAAACTTCGGTCACAACCTCACAATGTGACTGGAGCTCCATGACATTGTACACTAATACAGATCCTTTGGTCGTACTGGCAGGAAGAGCCAAGAAGCAACCATCCAAACTAGGGGAGAATGCACAAAGTCCTGAAGGAAAGAAAATAACAAAAAACCCTCAGGAAAACAAATAATGAAAATGTTTTTTGTTCACGAGTTTACATGACTCACAATGCCTTCTCAGTTACCCCAACTGTACCACTTTCTATTTCATTATTAACTATCAACAATCACCCTTCCAGACAGAGAGTATATAACTTTTGAATAGGCTACCTGCTCTCCCTGCTCTTCAAAAGCACAAAGATGCATGGAGATTGATGGTTAAAATAATGATACTCTAATGTGAGATTGTGTTTCTCTATCTTCTTATTTGTGAACATTCTATAATCCTTTCCTTATCTCAATGTCAATCAGTAACATTCCTAAGAACTTTGAGTCATTAAGTGAAAGGAGATCCAAAAAAAAGTAAGTGATAATTTTGAAGGACTGAAAATAAGCTGGCTACAATTGAACTTCTGCATATCTCAGAGTGGAACAATAGTCATGCTCTCTTGCAACAAGTTACTGCATTAAGAAACAATTCAGACCTATATCTTATCCAGCATAACTCTCCCCAAAGCAGTTCAGCAAACAAAGAGCAGAAAAGAAAGTACACTTTGGCTATGAGCATAAGACTTTGCTTGGTAAGGAGGATGGAAACATTTTCAATCCAATGGCAACTTTCATAACGTCCTTCCCTCTTTGTATAGCATCACCATTGGATTCAAAACTTTTCCATCCACCCTAACAAGCAAAAGATAAATAGATCAGACACATTGAACAAAACTTAAGGATCTTTAGATAAAGATCCAAAGATATAAGCAACCTTAAATGTGATTATATAATAGGTTTCCACTGCATCACAATTGCAATATGCAATTCTGTTTAGTAAAGCAACTCATTCCATACTGGTGTCTGCCATATATTATAGCTATTGTTTTGCAAACTCACTTCCAGAAACCAGCAAGAACCAGAAGATTTTTGAGCTGACGTCAGTTTGCAAGAGAAAATTTTAATTCAAACTATACATATCCACAATAGAACCTCCTAAAACTTGAGCCACAATAAGATTTCCAACAAAATGGAATTACCATTCTTTGGTTTGCATAGCATCATGCAAATTCATCATATGGAAAGCAGATCATCTATAAAATGGCAGAAATTTGAAACTTGCATGGATAGACATATTCAATGGTCAAGGGAGTCCCCTCTCAATCCAAAATTTTTGGATACCTCCAACTATGAAAAATCTTATTTATCTGCTTTCCATTTGTCTGCTCCATGTTTAACCCATCAAGTCGAATATCAACTTCTCAAAAAGGATTTAAGAACGAGTAAGAAACCATGCAAAAGGTATTAGAAATTTAAAACTGTATAAGAAACTATTTTCCTAAGCAAACTATTCCTTCAGTTAAGTATCCTTTCAAATGTCATGTCCTAATCATATAAGGGAATCTAAGATAAAACATGGTCATGCAAGTAACACTTCAAGTCAATTAAGCAACCATAAAAATACTAGGATCAAGCAGTTTTTGAAGTTAAAGTAAGAAAACTGGTGTAACTTAACATGTCCTACTTGAAAGATTGCAAAAGCCACCTTATACACAGAAGAAACACATTCTACCTTACCCTTTAAATTTGGCACAGTATCAATAGTATCCAATATTGCAAGACTGTTTGAGTCATATATGTAGGTTTTTTCTTTCAAAACCACAACAAGTCTGCAATAATACAAATTAAGTATCATTAAAAACCATAGATAATCATATCCAACAGACTAGTGTAGAATTAGGTGATGCCAGAGAATAACATACAAACCTCAGTGCAATTTAGTATAATTAAAAGAAGTCAAAATGGAAATCACAACAATAAAATAAGGCCTAAAAGGCTGATTTGATCTTGGAGACATACAACACTGAAGCATGTGGCAAAAACCAAAGTGAACAAATGGAATTAAATTATAGAAGAAAAAACTTCTGTTTGCAATGAGATATTTTTGCCCGTTACAGTATCCCTATTAAACCAAATTTCCACATAAACTTGCATTTCCATTTGCGAACTTAACTAAACTCCCTTCAACACTGTTGTTAAAAAATACTAGTGAATAGCATTCCACAACAAGGATCCTCTAAAACCACCTATATAGAGCAATAAATAAATAAAGTAAATTTGCAAGTGTCCTCTGACTTTGAATCTACAATTATTATGGAACAGAAAGAAAGTTGTTGTCTGAGAAACAAGATAATTTTCTAGCCCCAACAAAATGAAGACACCAACAAATTAATCCTATCATAGAAAGGAATCAAACTACTTCCAAAACAAAACACTCTTTAAGACCACAATTATGTTCCAATCTTTGTTTTTAGTTTAATAATACTAACAACGATTACAAAACATCTTTTAAGTGGCTATTAACATTCTCTCTTGCACTTTCAGTCAGTCAAAACCCCTCAGTTTTGAATAAGCATGCTTACAGACACTCAAAACAAGTGCTAAAATGGATATTACTTGACAGTGTTTTCATGAGACTTCTGGACATTAGTTAATTAATTTCCTTATGCCACATTATCTATCTATTAACAGAACGCCCACCAATTTGAGCTATGAAACCTGTTAAGGGGGTATATAAGCACAAAAGAATATGAAACAGGTTCCATTTTTTCCCAAAGATCAAATGAGTCAAGGTCCGAAGTTTAGCAGCTGGGCCATTACTACTGCTTTCCTGGCAAACTAATCTGGAAGTAATCAAGATGCTTTGCTTCCTGATCTAAAGTTACCAGTGCCATATCATAGCATGTGATATGCACCGACAACAAGGTGTAAGGCAAGACAAAACAGAATTCTCATGACAAACTCAGGAACCTACAATTGCCAATATGTCACTAACAAAGAGCCTTTAGATCAAAATCCATACAATATAAGGGGGGGAAAACTCTCTGTCTAGTAATTAGGTAATTCCTAAACATTGAACAGTTCCTCACAGATGCCTCTATCCTGACTTACATCTAGGTACAATCAAGCATATTTAAATTAAAATAAACCATATTTACCCAGTCAAAACCAAACATTAGAATCCACAAAATAAAGGAACGAAACATTATGGAGCTTTGAATTGCTTATCTATTAAGCTAAAAGACATCCTTTTTACCTTTTCCTATTTAAGCGAACAGCAAGAATTGAAGTTAGGAAAGTCATTTCCCGGAGAGGAGCATTGGTTTTTGTATCGAACAAACAGAGACGGCGTGGAGATAAAGATGGCTGCAACAGTTCAGCAATACCACAGTTCAGTAATTCATCAACATCTACAAAATATATAGTAAAAATTATTGCAATAATAGTAATTTTAATTGAATAATAATAAAAATCAGTCCAAAAACATTATTAACAAAAAGGGGTAAATTTGTAAAGCACCTGTTCACCGGCCCCAACAATGGCGAGAAGACTAGAACTATACAGCATTTCAACAATAATGAAACCTCCAACAGCTAGCAAAATAAGTCAAAATAAAATAAATGAAATAGTCGATCAATTTTTTTAATTAAAACTTCGATCAAATTGGCTCAAAATTAATAACAGAGAAAAGAATAAAAAATAATCAATCAATTATCTTAATTAAAACTTTGATCAAATTCGCTCAAAATTAATAATAGACAAGAGAATAAAAATAAAAATAAAATTTTTGCGAAATTAGTTCACCTCGTTCGTAGCAGAGTCGTCCGGTGTTTGGATCGAATATTTTGAAACCATCTGGGGTGCTTATTACAAAACCACTGCAAAATTTAAACAAAAAACAAAAGAGAATAATCTATCAAAAAGCGCTTCATTTAAGCCAAAAATATTTACTTTGTTGCAAAATTAAATGAAAACAATAAGGATTTTTTAAATTTAAACTTACCTGTTGTTTTGATTGAAGGAAGCGTGAAGGATTGGGTAAGAGGAGGAGTGATTGGCCATTGTGAAAATTGTCGCTACCAGCGGGAGTAATTTCGAAAACCTTTTATAATAAAAGAAAAAACCATATAATTTGTTCTCTCTTTTAAAATTAAAGCGAAATTAAGACGCCGGCGATCAGCACAGAAAGAAGAAAACGTGGAATGGAATCAAGGCGGGTAGTGAGGTGGATCCCTGTTTCCATCATCGTTTAAACTGAACGGCTAATGCAAGATCATACCATCGACCTGATTAGATCAAGCTACCATGGTCGGCTTACGCCACGTCATTACCTAATGTGGGTCCACCAAACTAACTGTCATGTTTCAAAATTTAGTACGTGATCATAATTATAAATACATGATTTTTATCTTTTAAATAATTTTTTGAGTACTCATTAAAATAAATAAGGCTTTGGCTCCCTCAATTATTATTATTATTTTAATACATTCATGTAACTATTCACATGTAAAAGACGATTCAATCGTAAATTCGTGAATATCATATATTTAACTAGTTTTTTATCCGTACAATAAACGGAATTTTTATTATATTTTTCATAATTTAAAATTTTAATTCATACTAATTTTTATATTATATACAAATAAAAATATTTCTAATCATTTATAATTTATAATTTTAAATTACAAAAATCATCTATACATAAATTATTATAAAAAAATTTAAATAAATATTATGAAAGTTTTGAATTATAAAAATAAAATTACATATAAATCTCAATGTAAAAATTAATCTCTTATGTACAATTACATATACTCTAAAAATTATATATTATTTTAGTATGAAAATTAAAATTTACACATGTGATATATCATGAAAACTTTTTCATATTTAATTTTAAAATTTTATCATCTCAAATTTTTGTAACAAAAATCTAATTGTTTAATCTTTTATAAAGAAAAAAAATATTTATTGTGAGAAGAAATCATAAATATATATTTGATAATTATTTAATTTTAAAAAAATTTAAATTTTTAAAAATATAGTTTATCTATGTTTAATTTTAAATTAAGATAAAAGATATTAATATAATTTTAAATTTAAATATGTGTGTACTTTTAAATTGATATAAAATATCTTTTTTTTTATTTTAAATCCTAGGAAAATAATGTTTTTAAAAATATATAAAAAATAAAAATAAAAAATTGATAAATAACAGTGATTTAACCACAAATTTTATATATTTAAATTTATGTGAATATTAATTTAAATAGTGTATAATTTTTTATGGTTTCTAAGATTTAAAGATTTAATATTTTAAAACTATATGAAATTTGTATTTCATATATATGGGTAAAGGTAAGATATGAGATATATTTTTTCAAGTTTAAATTAGGATAAAACTTATATATTTTGAAAATTTTGGATAAATGTAAATAGTAAAACTTTAAAATTTTTAAAAATTAAATAATTGATTTACTAAAATTATTTAAAACTATCTTATGTGTTAATAATATAGATTATCTACTTAAACATTTATACAAATAAATTATCAGATATATTATAATATAATATTATATATAATATTGATAGCATCATTGATTGATCTTCACGTGATTTTTAAAAGGATATAGTGAGTTTTTTAGAACATTATTTCATTTTTTTTATTTTGGTTGAGAAAAAATTTAAATTCAAACATTATAGTTATGGGTGTAATCGAATCGAGTCGAGTCGATACAATGAGAAGTTTGAGCTCGACTCATAACTCGCGACTTGATACTTGACTCGAACTTGATCGAATTTTATTTTTCAAGCTCGAGTTCGATTCGTGATCGAATTCTAGCTACTCAAATTCGTTCGATTAAGCTCGATTAATATGTAAAAATAAACTTGATTCGTATACTCAACAAAAGTTTGATTATTAAAAATAAGTTTGATTCGTATACTCAACAAAAGTTTAATTATTTATGCTTTAAATATATTTTTATTATTTTATTAATTAAAATAATAAAAATATATTTAAATATAAAAACTTGATTAGGCTCGCGAGTTATTCGAATCGGATATAAGAATACTCGAATTCGACTCAATCGATAAATCAAACTACTCGAGCTCGACTCGATAATAATCTAACTAAATTCAAATTTTTTTCAAATCAAATCTGAATAACTTGTGAGTACTAATATATTATTTACATCCCTAATTATAATCCCTGATACTGCAAAAGCATCCAAAACGATTACCCTTGCAGCTCAGCGAGACATTTGACAATTACCTTTCACTTTCACACCTCAAAAATATTGCAAATATAAACTATGCTAAATTTTTTATATTTAATGCATTAATAGTATCATTCAACTACAAATTATTACATGAATAAATTTTTAAAATCAATTTATTTTTTTAAAAAAATTAATTTCTAAATTTATTTATTAATATTGTGATAACCTGTAAATGTACAAAAATTTATACCATACCAATTCATTGAATATAATTTTTTTAATCGAAACCGTCTATAAATCATTATGGGTTTGAATCTGTGTCTCACAGTTGGGAGCAGAGCATCTGATTCTGTTTTCTCTGTTTCAGTCTTATCCCCATCCAAAACACTATACAATCCTACCGTGCTCACGGAACCTTTCCCATTTACCCATTTGGCAGGCACGGGATTCACACAGCAAAAAGAAACATAAAACAGTGTAAAAAGGACATTAACATTACAACCCCAGAAAATATAAATTTGACATCGGTCTTTAAACATACGACAAAAGCTATTTCCTTTTTGAAAACTTGGGGAACTTGTAAAGAATTTAATAAAGAATGCATCCTCTATTTTCTTTGTTGATCTTATCTGGGACCAGAGAGCTCCATGGCATAGGAATCCAAAGAATGTTCATCATCATCCTCATCCATTCCTGTGCCGAACATGTTCCTCGATTGATCATCACTTTTTTTCTCATGTTTTGATCCAGGGTAGGGTTGTTGGTGTGATTACCATGATTATGTGATGCTGCCCATTTCTCGGCAAGCCCATCGCCTTCGAGCATCCGGACCACTTCGGACATTTTTGGGCGGTGGGTCGGAAGGTACTGAGTGCATAGCAAACCACGTGCAGCATCTCCCCCACTTCAATCCTGTCATAGTTGCTCCCTAGCTCTCTGTCCACCAACACTTCCACTTTCTTTTCTTGCTGAATTTTCTTCACCTGTCACAACAAATTGCAAATGTTTCTCCATCAGCTTTCTTCATATATATATTTTCTTTTTATGCTCTTGGCTGATTCCAGCTTACTATTTTGAAAACAACTCAAATTCCAAATGCATCTTTCCCCAAGTGCATTAAAAATTAAGAGGAAATACTTTCATGCAAGGTAAATTTTTCTTCATATGCGGTACTAACTATACTATGTGCTATGATTGCAGGGCAAATAATGCCCCTGAACAAAGTAGAAAATCCTAGAGCTCAAATGCATGTAAATTATGACTAGTTAATAAAACACCAGCAGCAGCAGTCCTAAACCAGAAGATTTTCCACTAGAATTATCCATTACTCCCCCGCCCTCAAAACAGAAAAATGTTTTTCACTCTTTCTTTTGGTGCTTGTACCATCCTTTAAACATTGGGTATCCCAAATCTTATGGTCAAATGCATTTAGATCAAAATCCCTTTATCAACATCATATTTCTTTCAACATCTAAGGTGCGTACAAAGGTCGCGAGTGATCAAACAAAACAACCTAGTTGATATTAATAAAAAGAAAGAGTTTAGCTTATTATCGTTGCTAGGAAACTAACCCACTCAAGCATTGCTCCTTTCTGACTAGCTGTTTTACCAAACTCGAGAGCTCTCATTCCAGTTATGAGCTCTATCAAGAGAATGCCAAATCCAAACACATCAGTTTTCTCCGAAGACTGACCAGTTGAGAGGTACTCAGGTGCAATGTGCCCAACAGTGCCACGGACTGCAGTGGTGACATGGGAATCAGCATGATTGAGGAGCTTTGCAAGGCCAAAGTCACCAACAATGGCTTCACAGTAATCATCCAGAAGGACATTAGCTGCCTTCACATCTCTGTGGATTATCTTTGGATCACATTGCTCATGTAGATACAGAAGTCCCCTCGCTGCTCCAATCGCAATCCTCTTCCTTGTATTCCAGTCTAGTGCTGGTTTTCCTGCCAAACCCAATTCATTTACATTAGAGGTAAGGTAAATTACAGTAAAAAAATCATCTGCAAATTTACTCAGAATTAGCAAAAAAAGGAAAGCCCTCTAAGATTTAAACTAATAAATAACCGAATATTGTCAGTTGGAAACTATTTTGAAAAGTAAATAAAATTAAAAATAAGAAAAATAACTACTGGTAGCTTGGTCCCTATCCGCATAGGCTGGACCTTAATTTTTGGCATTTCAACCAATTATGGTCCATGGCAAGACAATGAAAGAGCAACAATACAGTGGTTGCCTAGTTGTTTTTAAAACAAAATACGAAATCAACTTGTCCGGTATGAAAATTGAATGAAAGAAGTTTCAGAAAAGTAAAGCTAATACCAACCTCTAAGCCTGGATGCCACACTTCCATTAGACATGTAAGGGTAGACAAGAAGTCTCTCATTAGAGGTAGCACAATATCCAATTAAACGAAGCAGATTACGGTGAACCGCCAAGCTGATCATCTCCAACTCAGTCCTGAACTGTGACTCCCCAAAAATTCCTGTCAAGTCTTTTAGCCGCTTCACTGCCACAAGAGTACCATCCCCTAACTTTCCCTTGTAGACATTGCCAAAACCTCCAGTACCTAGTATGTTCTTGGAGCTGAAGTTGTCTGTAGCAAGCTGAAGTTCCCTGAAAGCAAAGTTTCTAAGGTTGCCTAGGCTTATGAGGCCTTCTTCTTGATTGTCTGCAATCAAAGTGTAACAATGTTACATCAATTTAAATAAATATATAAAAGAATCATTTTAACAGTACTTTGTTGTTGTCACTGACCACTAATGTTTAGAATTGTTAGCTTTTTCTGTTTCTTTCTATGCCATAGTAGTGCAAAAGTTAGGAGTATGACGGAAGCAAAACTGAGGCTGAATCCAAGAGCAATTGCTAACTTATTGGATTTTTGTTCCCCTGATTCATGAGGCAGAAAAAAAGCAATATGTATAAACCATTAATAAGGAAAGGAAGATTAGTTGTGGAAAATTAAAAGGACGTTTGAAGAAAGTTACCATTTGATGAGCCCAGGGAAAGTGAAAGGGGAACAGCATTGGCTGGTCCAGAGCAAACTTCAGTGGAGCTGCTTCCACAAATCAATGGATTC